TCACCAAATCAACCAGGCCCACTCGGCCCGTGTCCGTTCGCAGGTGGTGGAGGCCTTACCAAAGGACCCCCGGGACGAAATCATTGTGGCCCTCCAGCGCCGGTTTGACGAGATGGAGGCCACCAAAGCACACGCCACCACTTCTGTCCCCCATGCAAATTCTAAATATGAGGCCATGCTGGCCAAAATGGAGGAGATGCAATGGAAATTTGCCGAAGGCTCCGGGGAACCCGTCATCCAACTCCGAACTAGGACGCCATTTACCCCAAGGGTATTGGCGGCCCAAATCCCGGAAAAGTACCGAGGGCAACTCATCAAGCCCTATGAAGGAAAAACTGACCCCCAGGAGCACTACAACAGGTATCAAAACAGCATGATGATGATGGGGGCATCAGATGAATACTTATGTCGTTGGTTCCTTTCCACCTTGGAGGGACCAGCATACGAATGGTTCAACCGATTGCCCGAGGGCAGCATTGACTCTTGGCAAGATCTTGCTCAACGCTTCCTCACCCATTTTGCCGGAAGGAAGCGTGCGAGAACGCACTTCTCCCACCTCCTCTCCGTCAAGCAACAACCTGACGAAACACTTCGGTCCTTCATTGACCGGTGGATGAAGGAGACAGACGAGGTCGAGGGCGCCGACGAGCGTACCCTCCTCGTCCTCTTCCAGGGGGTTCTCCGCAGCAGCCCCTACGCACGGAGCCTCATCACAGACCCCCCAAGATCATACCTCAATGCACTCCAGCGGGGGAGCCTATACGCCGACGCCGACGACCTCCACTCCTTCAAGAAGAACGAGGGCCAAACCTCGAAAAAGACAAACAACACGCCGACCCCAAATGCGCCCTCGGCCGGAGGCCGAGACCATGGAAGCCACACCCAATAGGGGCGTAACGAATGCCAGTGGCGCCCTCGGCTGGACATGCCGAGGACTCCCCTCACGCACCCGGTGAGCACTATCCTCAACTATGCGGAAGAGCAGGACCTTTTCCCCAAGGACCCTCGGTCAGCGAGGGAGATCTACGCCATCCACCAAGGCGGCACTTATTGCCGTTACCACAAAAGCACCTCCCATAATACAGATGATTGTGTCTCGTTAAAGAAGGCTATTGAACTCTTAATTCAACGGGGTGAGCTCCACCAATTCATCAAAAATGCCCCAAGGAAAAACATCGGGGAGAACACCGATAAAGAAGAAGGGGACATCGCAATGAAGAAACATGAAATCGGGAGGCTCAGCGACTGCGAGGAGTTCGAGGAGCCCCAGCCGAAGAAGCGCCACCTCCGCTAATCATGTTCCTCGCCTTCGGCGTTAGTCTCAGCCATGGTCCCTCGACCTCGAGGCACATTATCATCCCCTCGGTCTAGAGCCCTCGGCCTTGAGCGGTGAATCTTAACAAAGCCGTTGTCAAACAACGCACCCCTTGTATTCTGCTTATTTCTATGAATTTAAGTAAACTACAACACAATCCAGACATCTTATCGGTCCCTTCGAGGCCAAATGCCCAGGTATGGCCGATGGTGTCTAAAGACGAGGGGCCTGCAAAAGGCCCGCGTTTTTGGAGCGGGACGCTCGCCGCGTCGCCGGCGCGCAACGCACGACGACAGGCCTGAAAGAATGGCTGAGGTGACGAAATCCCCAAACTTGGGGGTGAAACGGCAGTCGTCGGAAACCGACCAAGCCTAGCCCGCGCCGTAAATAGACGACGGGACCCCCCAAGGTCAAGGGACGGTTCAGCGCCGGGGGATTAACAGACGAACCCCCGAACGGATCACTTGAACCCCCTTCCGGCCGAGGCGGGGAAGCAACCCCCTCGGCCGAAGCCTGAAAGAAGGAACACACATCGGGAGGACTAACATACGACCTCCTGGCACAATCAAGGGACGACCTAACGCCGGGGGACTAACAGACGAACCCCCGGACGGATCACTTGGACCCCCTTCCGGCCGAGGCGGGGAAGCAACCCCCTCGGCCGAAGCCTGGAAGAAGGAACACACATCAGGAGGACTAACATACGACAAAACACGCAAATGTTAAAAATTTTCTATTTCTCAGCTACAGCAAGCTGAGGCAAGATCACAACGGCAACCTACTCCCCTCGACATGATGCTTTCGGCTTACAGAATGCCTCCGGCACACAATGCCTTCGGCCACATGATGCCTCCGGCCACATGATGCCTTCGGCCACATGATGCCTTCGGCCACATGATGCCTTCGGCCACATGATGCCTCCGGCCACATGATGCCTTCAGCCACACAAAGCCTTCAGTCAACAAATGCCCTCGGCAAAGCACACAAATGCAGATCTCTCATTACTTTACAAACTACAACAAAGAAACACATACGAGCAACACACTTACACTCCCTTCAGGAAGCTCTCAGCCCTCGACATATAAGGGAATTGAGAAAATGAGGCACCCAACAGAACAGGGAAGCCTTCGGGGAAACCACCACAGCTACTCCTTTTCCCTCAAGTACCTTTCGGCAAAAGGAGTGGGGGGACTCCTGATGGAGTATATGGCCCAGGGACCCCCGACCCACATACTTCCTCTACTACAATCAGGCCCAACAGGCCCAAACGGGCCAAGCCCAGCAAAATGGAGCTCTAAGCAGCCCACAATACGCAGAGGGGTACCTTCGGCCGTATGGCCGAAGGCTACCAGTGACGGAATCGAGCTCAGAAACATCACAGGAGAACAAGGCTTGAAAACCAAGCCTTCGGCAACTGCAGCCTTCGGCAGGTAGGAGCCCTCGGTTAGAAGAGGCATCACAGGAGAACAAGGCTTGAAAACCAAGCCTTCGGCACCTGCAGCCCTCGGCAGGTAGGAGCCCTCGGTTAGAAGAGCCTTCGGCCCAACACCCTTCAGCCGAAGGCATCCACCTCGACAGAATATCCTCTTCACATGCGCCTGGAGCACCGTACCAAGTACAAACGTCACATACTACCGCATTTAATGCGGCCACATGCGAGTGCCAGCGCCAACCAGTTGAGGTGACCTCTCGGCCAATGGACGCTTGACACGTGTCCCTGTCCGGCATTTATTGCTACTATAAATAGCACCCCATTTCCCCATTTGTAACCAAGTCACAATACACACGCTTAATACATATCGAATATACACTCTCTCTCTTACTTATTTGCTCTGACTTCTCTCTAGTTATTCTCCGCAATAACCCCTCGGATAAGCTACCCCCCGGGTACACTATCCATCAGGATGTTTTCTTTTGGACTAAAATTTGATGGTCTTGTATGGTTGATCAGGTCTAGTCTGGTCTGGTCTGTTTAAGTCTGGTCTAGTCTAGTCTGGTCTGAAGTAGTCTGGTAAATGTGTGATCTCTATGTATTAACTGTCCAAGCCTGGTCTGGTCAGTTTAAGTCTGATTTGTTCTGATCTGAGAATAAAAACAGTCCAAAAGAAAACATCCTAAGGCCATAAAAAATGTTTAAAAAATTCACTTTTTGCCTATTTATTTTGGTTTTAAGAGCAGGGCTTTATTTTATGATGTAACTCGTGTTATGGAAAATGTAACTCGCAACGATGAAATATCTAATTTAGGTGTGCAAAATGTAACTTGCTAAGACAAATCTAAATGTAACTCGCGCATAAGAAGATGTAACTCGCGCACAAGATTAATCCAAGAAATGTAACTCCAGAAATTTTCTATAAGCATAACTCACAGATATCAAATTGTAATCTCATTTTGTATCAAATGTAAATCGAAATAAACAAATTTAATATAATAATGCCTTAAAAACACTAAAACATATTAAAGAGATACGAAATACTCCATCCGTCCCTTAAAACTTTGCCAATTTGACCGGAACGAGGATTAATAAAGTAAAAACTGTGTGATTGAAGTTTGTGCAGAGAAGAGAGAATTAACTGGAATCATAAATTCTTTACTTAAAGTGGAAAGTGGCAAAGTTAGTGGGACATCCAAAAAAGAAAAGTTGGCATAGTTTTAAGGGACGGAGAGAGTATGTTATAGGAAAATATGTATGAATATGAAAAAATATATTATAAAAGAATTGTATAAATATGAAAAAATATTACAGAGGAAATATATTTGATTATAATTTCAATTGAAGATAAAAAAAAGTAAAAAGTAGTGTATGATTATAAAATACAATATAATTTATTTACATTAATATTAGGAATAAAAGAAAAACAAAAACGAGGCACTCCATTACTCTTGGGAAGAAAAAGAAAGACATGTAAGAGGTATTAGTGCACACTAATGCAACGAGGAGAATGCTTTAGTGGGATTGATACAACGTGCTAACGATACCACAGTATAATTTGGGCTTATTATGTTAGCCAAATCAGCAATATTAATGCGTTAATCCAATCAATATAGTACTTTTACGTTAAAAAGTAGAGTGTACAATTTCGTGTTAGAGATGTACTATCTCCGTTCTAAAATGAAGTTGTCATTCACTCTTCATTGACCAATTTAAATCACTCATAATCTTTTACTTTATATATAAAATTTGTATCAAATTTAAATTTTCTAAAAGTAAATATAGTAGTTTTAATGTAGTTTGTGATTTTATTTAGTAAAAATAATTGGAATGTAATCAAGGACGTAGTTGCTTTTCGTCGGTCAGCCTAAGTAGAACTTGTTTACCTATGAGGTACCAGATCGACCTTTCTCTTGTTAAGAAACACACGTGGTATAGGCTAACTTCCCAACCATTTCTGTCTGATTTCGATCGATCGATCGATCCAAATCTTGGTCCAAAAGGTGGAATCTCCGATATGACAGGATTTTTAGGAGGATGTTAATCACGGTGACTCAGTCGGTCCAATAATGGTAGGTTTTTTTCCCGTGCGCACCAGAGGCCCAACCTTATTTCAGGTTCTGTGACCTCCACACGGGCGTTGCGAGTTTCGAACCTTGGTCACTTGGTCCAAATTTCCCATCACTGAACGAACTGAGCTAGCGGTGTAGGCAATGGATCCAAATCTTACCCCTATGTTAGTATGTTTTCCTTGAGAGAATGACAGGTTATGTGTGTCTTGTCAATGGAAGAGAGAGAATGAAACGAAGAAGACTCCTGGGCGTAGTTATTACAAGTAGGACCTAAAGTAGAGATATCCAATCAGAGAGTTTTTCGAGCTTCGCTGAATCTTTATCCACCATCTTAATTCCCTCACCTGCCTAGCCTACTGACACGGACACACATCGGCTCACGCAAAAGAAGTGAGGGATTCGTTCTGTATGGATGAAAAGAACGGAATCGCTCAGCATCCGCCGGCGTCAAATGAGGCGGCGCCACATCCAACTCCGGCGGAGTTTAAGGGAACACAAGAGGGAACCTGGTTTCACTCGACACTTGCCATGTCGCTGTGGCTAGGCACCATCCACTTGAACATCATCATCGTATTAGCTTCCTTCATCTTCCTCCCGTTCTCCAGTGCCATCGCGTATTACTCTTTACCCGCGCTCCCCCATCTCCATCTATTCCCCCTTCGTTATGTATGAACATTTGGATGCGATTTTTTCCCATTTCTTCAGAGTATTGGGATTGTTGTTGATCTTTGCGGTAATCCCGATTGACGAGAAAAATATATATGGCCGGAGATTAGCAAGGTTTGATTTCTACAGGGCTACAGTTTGAATCTATTAATAAGCTTCAATTTCAGGGCTACGGAGATTAGTCTCAATTTCATTGTGGCACTATGCAATGCTCTCCTTATTTTGGTCAATTTCAGGTACATATGTAAGCATGCGTCTGGCTACTTTCCGGTGCATCTGTATGTGGAGGACATTAAAGCATTCGATCCCAATCAGGCATATAGTAAGTGACTCCAAAAAAGGCAACGGAAAAGTTGATTCATTTATTTATACTTCTTTACTATGCTGAGTTTCACTATTAGTTTTTGTAAGGTTGTTAAGTCATTGTTCTGGGAAACGTTAATTAACATAATTTATTTATTTATGTATTTATTTATTTATTTATTGATTCATTCATTCATATATTCATTTATTTGTTCATTCGTTCCTTCATTCCTTCATATATTTATTCATTTATTTTTTATTGTTACAATTTTCCTGACATGCTTCTTTTTTGATAGATAGATTTCTATAACAATCCTCATTCCTTATCTTAAATGCCCCACAATAGTCAAATGACTCTATGTGGAAAAAACTCTTTCCTTACTATGATTTGTCTTCTTCCTTGCAGTTTTTGGCTATGAACCACATTCAGTTTGGCCAATTGGAGTAGTTTCACTTGCAGACCTTACAGGTTTCATGCCACTATCAAGAATCAAAGTACTAGCCAGTTCTGCTGTAAGCCTTGCCTACTTACTGCTTAACAAGAAGTACCAGTGTTGGTGATTCCATTGTCTATCAAATTCTGATCATTAAAATACCTTGGCAGGTATTTTTTACACCATTCATGAGGCAATTATGGACTTGGTTGGGAATATCACCTGCAACAAGGGATAATTTTAAGTCCCTTCTGTCGTCTGGTTATAGCTGCATAATAGTGCCTGGTGGAGTTCAAGAGGCATTTTATATGGATCATGGGTCTGAGGTTTAGTATAATCCATTAGATAAGCTCAATTCACACCTTCCTATCTTGGGATATACGTACTTTGGAGTGGAGAAGTAGTGAAAAGATTTTCCTGTTTCATTTGTTATTCTAATATTTTGATTGATCGACTTAATTAGCGACAAAAATATGTTCAAAAACAGTACTAGTAGATTTAGTATCACCATGTGTCTTTGCTTTTACATATAGAAGACGTGCTCTGCCATATAATGCATTTACTAATACGAAGCGCATATCATAGCATCTGTAAACTTTATGCTCTCCCCCTATTCGTCTCTGTCTGTATCAGTGGGGTGCCGTGCAATGCAATTTAAGAGTTGATTGTTTGCACGAGTAGACGGTACATGTTGTAGCAAAAACAAGTCCCAAATAGACATTACTAAAATGAAAGCAAGATCTGGTGTATTTCAATGGTATCACAGTTTAGGAAAAGTAAACCAACTATATCTAAGATACTGTAGGATGTTACTCTACAATGTAATTTGTGGACGATTGATCTCTTTTCTCTCTTTTCTCTCTCTTTTTTCTTTTATCTTTTCTCTTCTTTATCTTTCTATGTTCTTATGTTATATTTATCTTTTATCTTTCTTATGTTCTTATGTTATTTTCATCTTATATTTATCTTTATTTTATCCATTTTATCTTACCTTATCTCTTTATTTTTTCTTATATTTCTTCTCTTTTTGGCTCTGATATCATGGATCGATTTATGTTAACCGACCCCAAAATCTTTTGGGACTAAGGCTTGAATGTTGTTGATGCTGTTGTTGTAGGATGTTACTCTGTATAATACTTATTTCCATGTCGGTCCCTTGTAATGCTGATTATTATGTGGGCGTGGTATTAGCTCTTACGGGAACTGTTATATATATGTATTATGTAGATTGCTTTCCTTAATTCAAGAAAAGGATTTGTAAAGATTGCTATAGAAACAGGCAAGCCTTTGGTTCCTGTATTTTGCTTTGGCCAGGTAATTTTGTTTATTTTCTGTATCTGGTAATTTATTGGCATTCCATCCCCCACACAAACGCGATTTCATTCTATAAGTCCGCTTGATCTTTTCACAGATGCTATGGAAACAAATGACATTTGAGCATTTCTTTGATTTGCTTAGTTTACCCTAAAAAGAGTGAGTAAATTTTGTCAAATGATTTGTAATTGATTAACATATCATCATATCATTATACGGAAGATGGATGGAGTAGAAAGTTAGTTGAATCTAAACAAGGAAACTGAAAATAAATGTGAGACAAACTAAAAAAGAAAGTGAGACATATCCCATGTCACACACTTGATTATGATGTTTCTGATAAGAGCACTGATATTGACCGCCCATTTTGTGTTTAATCTGCAGTCCGATGTATACAAGTGGTGGAAACCCAGCAGCAAACTGTTTTTAGAATTTTCGAGAGCTATAAAGTTCACACCACTTGTTTTCTGGGGAATCCTCGGGTAATCCATCTAAAAAAATTATTTGTTCCTGTGAGTTGGACCATCCAGCATTACCCACTAAGTGTAGTGTATACAGCTTTTAGAGTATTTTATAATTCAATCTGTTCATCAAACACTAACAGGCATATTTTATAATTCCAGTTTGTGATCAATATTGTAATAACCTGAGCTTTCTCTGTGCAGATCTCCTATACCCTTTAGACAACCCTTGCATGTTGTGGTTGGCAGACCCATTGAAATAAAGAAAAATGCACTACCTGCAACGAAAGAGGTAACCTATATCATCTGCAACCCACTCTTAGTGCCTGTTTGGTAAGACACTTTTTTTCTTACCTGCCTTGTCACACTTTATGAGAAATCTACCAATACTATTTTTTGTTTTAATTTGATTTGGTGGTATTAGTTAATACAATTGATTAGTGCATGGGTTAGGTTTTTTTAATATTTAAATGAAAGTGTGACACTTGCCTATATTAGTTCTGTGTAATTACGGTTATTTATTTATGTTTATTTAATAGTAGTAGATGTTATATTCAGAATTAACGTTCAAGATTCAGGTGCCAAGAAGCTGGCTACCTTGCTTGCTAGCTTCTGTAAAACTGTTTTTAGCCGTTAGAAGTGATTCTAAAGCTTTACCAAAACATTCCAAAACTTCATTCTACTTCTATGTGCTCTCAGGAGGAGCAGAATCAATAATACGAAGTACTATGTTTACTGAATTTTTATATAATTCGGCCAGTTCAGTGATTTGAGTTACAACACTTGAGTAGAATCAGCCGATTCAACCCTTTCATGCCTTACCAAACGGGTTCTTTATGCATCATTTCCATTTACTTTTTAACTGGTGAGATGTTTTACTCTTCTCGTGAACTTGATTAAAGGTTGAAGAAGTACATCATTGTTTCGTGGCAGCACTTCAAGATCTCTTTGAGAAGCACAAAAAGATGGCAGGCCATGGTGATCGTGTGCTAAAAATTCTTTAACTTTACCAGTAAACCTCACATGTTTGTAACCTCCACACATGAACAATAAAAGGAAATGAACAAGGTGAATCTACTATGATCTATGAAAAAAACGAAATAAAATATTTAATTTGGCTATCTAATGATTCTAATAAAACAAGTCTCACATGCAACTCCTAGTTCTATATCAAGTAAAATGGTTTAATGTTAGGGTTTATTTGTCTTATACTCTCTCTATCCTGCTAAAATTGTCCCATCTTTTCTTTTCAGCTCATGTCATTAAGATTGCCCCATATCAAATTTGGTAAAATTTGTGCGGCTCTAAATTTTTTTTACTTTATCAATTCAATATCAACTATATAAATCCATTTTTCTTAATAACTGCACCATCACAACATCACCTTATGTTTCAATGTTATTTCAATGTTAGTAGGATAAAGTTTGTAGTTTTTAGAGAAGCTTAATAACAAAATCCACCATTCTCTGTTGAGATTGCTTATCGTGACCATTCCTATTAGGGGTTGATTCGGTTCGGGCCACCCGGCCCGTGACCCGGCCCGGTCCGCTACTGTACGGGCCCGGAACCGACCTGGTCTGGCAGTCCGGGATCGGGTCTAGACTTGAACCGGGAGGCAGCGGGGGACGGGCTCGGTTCTGGCAAAACGTGACCCGGCCGGGTCGGGCCCGGGTCCGGGTCACAATGGTCAAATTTATAAAAAAAATTGTTTTGGGCCAAAAGAGCCGTTAGGCTGGGCTGGGACCACCCAAACGGCTATATAGCTGTTGGGTGGGCTGGCAGGGCGGGTCCGGGCAGTTTGCGGGGTGGGGGGAGGGTGGGGGTGAAGGTGGGGTAAAAAAAAACTATAAATACTCCTAATCTTAAACATTTTTCCATGTCTCTTCTCTAACTTTTCCTAAATCCTACTCTCTACTCTCTAATTGTCTTCATCTTCGTCTTCTCAAATTCTCTTATTCTTCAATATATTATTCCCTCCGGTTCTCAAACAACTTCTCACTTTCCTTTTCGGGAAGTCCTGAAATTAATTTCACACTTTTTCTTATTTCCTTATTTGACTAATTATCTACACCAAAACAGTGCAAAACAGTGTCAAACAATGTTCAAACAGTGCACTTCACAGTAAAGTTAAATTTATTTTCTTAATCTGTGTGAAGTCAAACTGTGAAGCTCTTTGAGAATCGGAAAGAGTATATATCTACTTATATTATTTATCTACTTATAAATACATACTCCCTTCGGTTCTAATTAAACTTTACAGTTTGATTTTACACATATCAAGGAAATAAATTTGACTTTACTGTAGAGTACACTGTTTGACACTGTCTTGCACTGTTTGATGTAGATTTGTTTGCCAAATAAGGCAAATAAGTAAGTGTAAAGTTTATAGAAATTACTCCAAATAGGATTAAAACTATGGCAAAAACTCAAAATAGGGCTTACTATGTTTTTCTTTTCAAAATAGGACCATATTAGTCCAATTGGAAACATACCTATTTTTTCATTCTATTCGTACCCTTCTTTTAAATATGAGTTAATTAAATGTTTAATTCATAATAAATTCGAAAATATTCAAAAATTCCTAGAAAAATAATTAAATAATTTATATAATATTTATAAAATAAAAAATCATTTTTTTTTATTTTTTTAAAATATTAATAAAAAATAGTAAAACTTCATAAAAGAAATCAAAAAAATATGGATGCCTTTCCCACCGCCTGTACTACCTCCCTGCACCACCATCGTCGGGCGGTGAAAAAATGCCACTTTTCCTAAAAATTGCCATTTTTTCTGAAAATGCCAAAAACATGGCATATTTCTCTTTGAGAATGCCAACATTTTCATTGTTTTCTGCCATAAATATGGCATTCATAATGAACTTGGCATTTTTTTCCCCTGGTGACTGGAGGTGGTGGTGCAGAGGCGGCAGTGAATTTTATTTTATTTTTTTGAGTTTATTTTTTATTTTTTTTTTAATTTTTTATTTTTTGAAAATAAATAAATAAATAAATTATTATTATCGAAATATTTTTATTTATTTTTTAGTAATTTTTATTATGAATTAAAACATTTCAATAGCTATAAGGGTATATTTGTCCAAGACACATATAATTAGTCCTATGAAAACATAGTTTATTTTTTGTCCTATTTGTGCAAAGTGAGTAATTTTTAGTCCTATTTTGATAATTAACCCTAAAGTTTATTATGGGACGGCCCAAAAAGGAAAGTGTAAAGTTAATTAAGGACCGGAGGAAGTATATTATATTACTTATATTTCTTATCTACTTATACATTAATTATCTATTTATAAATACATATATTATATTACTTATTTTTCTTATCTACTTAATCTATACTTATTATTTACTTATATCTACTAAATACATACATATTACAATTTATATCTACTTAGTTCGAATTGTTAGTACATTTTAGTACGAATTAGTACATTTTATATAATACTTTGATTGTTAGTACATAAAACAACTAGTACAAAAAAAACTAGTTAATTGTTAGTTTTAAGTATTTATTAAAAAATACTACTCCCTCTGTCCCTTAAAGTTTGTCACACTTCCCCGAAACGGATGTCCCAAAATGTTTGTCTTACTTTTTCAACTTCATTATTTGGTAAACAAATCTATACCAAACAGTGTCAAACAGTGCAAAACAGTGTCAAACAGTGCCAAACAGTGTCACCACAGTGTGAAACAGTGTCGCTACAGTGTAAAGTCAAATTCATCTCATTAAAACTTATGAAGTCAAACTATGACAAACTTTGAGGCACGGAGGGAATATTGATTAGTTCAAATAACTAGTACAAAAAACTAGTTAATTCATTACTCAATTAAACTTAGAATTTTATTTCATTAAAGTTAGAATTGTTAGAATTTTATTTCATTAGTTCGAATTGTTTTTATAAATTAATATTTGTTACATTTTTAAGATGGAAGGTGGTAGATATTCGGTTGATATGGGTAACCTCGACCGCAACCGAACGAACGAGTTTGCGAGGAAGAGATCTCGCAAAGGTAAATCACATATCGGCCAAAGGACTGGGAAATTCCGATTGATTACAAAATGTATTTCATATTGTATTTTTTTCTAAATTGTCAAATATAGTTCCTATTTCATTTCAAATAAATGCACTTGAAGTTTATTTTTAATACTTGTATAAAACTATAAAGCATAAATAAGTAAAAAAAATGGATTTACCCGGCCCGGCGGGTGGTCCGACCCGTGACCCGGACGGGTGGCCCGGCCTGAACCGGAACCGGCCTTACCTCGGGCCGGTCCCGGGCCTATCAATTATAAACCGGAAGCCCGACCGGACCCAAACCGGCTCGAGTCCACCGCTAATTCCTATATTGTGGTCAAGCCTTCTGTCTGTGTGGTTACCCTTGCAGTCAATTATTCTATGTGCACATTGAATTAATAAGATTAATTGCATTAATTCATTAATCACAATGACACTACATGGCTGTTACATAGGGGGTGTTTGGACCCGCTTTTTAAAGCAACTTCTGTTCTTTTAGGGAATAGAAGTAGATATTTGAGTGTTTAGGTGAAAGTGGAGAAGTATTTTCAAGGGCTCCAAAACGCTCTTAAAAGCATTTTTTTAGAAGCTGAAGAAAAGCAGCTTAGAAAAATTGATTATGATTCTACTTCTGTTTTAAAAAAACCAAAAACAGAATCAATTCCAAACACCTCCATAGTATCTTATAAATGCAATTTTTTCACTCACTACTTGAATAGGTCACATTTTTTGGGTTTTAAAGCTTATTTGATGTGGTTATCAAAGTTCATTTGCTGCAGTTTTTTAAGGGAATATAAAAACCTAGGACATCTTATTGTTGTGTCTCGCAACAGAATCCATTTACTTTTTTATTACTCCCTCAGTCCTAAATTGTAAGATACATTTACTATTCACTTGGTCAACATAAATCACTCTTGATCTTTTACTTTATATATTAAAAGTTTGTGAAATTTGAATTATTTTTTGTAGGTTTTGTAGCGATTTTAATGTAGTTTCTGAATATGTAAATTTTATTTTTTAAAACTAATTTGAGTGTTGACATGAACCAATTTGCTTTATCGTCGGTCAATCATCGTAAACCATAAAGTATCTTACAAATTGGGATGGGGGGAGTACAAACTAAATACTCTCGATGCATTAACCAAGCATTCCAGCTCAGCTGGTTGTGAGGTTACCGTACCTAGTGGAAGGTCTTGACTTCGAAATCCGCTATGCACATAAGAATTTAAAACTCAATGGAGTGAGTTTCAGCTCTGATTACTGCAGAGTCCATCCCCGGATCCCCGTAGTTAAAAAAATAAAAGCTCTCGACGCTGTTAAATACCGGTGACATTTAAAGCATCCGCAATGTACTAGTCTCTAGTCTCAATAAATTTCGCCAAGTGTCAAACAAATAGGAACAACATATGGTATGCTCTTTTGCTTGAATCTGCCACTACACAACAACCTAAAAAAATAGTTACCAGAAGATTGCATCGTCATGTACTCTAACTTATGTATACAACATAATAATAATAATAATAATAATAATAATAATAACAACAACAATAATATATGAATAATATATACACAAAGTGCAGGAGAATGCAAGTATCGTTACTTGTGGACTTCCTAGGAGACAATCATCGGCACCCGATCGACTTCTCAAGATATCAACGGCAACTGAAATTTAGGTTTTAGAGACAAGCAAAAAGTTAGAGGAGATAAACCTCTTTTTTATCAAGTCACCAAGTGTGGAAGGCTTTCTATACTCGGGATATTTTTACTTGAATTGTTTTCAATCTCACATCAAATCAGACTAGATCAAGTCAGATCAGACCAAACTAGATTGGATAATTATAAAATAGATAGACACCAAATATTTACTAGATCAAGTAATTTAGACAAGATCAGATTAGACCAGATCAGATCAGTAAATTTTAGTCCAAATAAAAAACATCCTCAAACATCTTCTTTTGCGGTGGTTAATTGTTTATTGCCATATCATCATATTGTGATTATAGAATATACACCACAACCATTGGAAAGGAAAATAATCAGTGAATGTCTAATTTAATGATGTGGCACACTATATCTAGACTAAAAGACATGTATGCATTGTGGACACATAAAATTTTGGAAAAAGGGGCAAATAAGCTCACGTACTAAAGAAAAAAGATCAAATAAGCCCTTATATAGGAGG